TAGGGCAAAATACAAACCATATTTAAGTGCTTCGATCGTTAAGCAGTTTAAAACGTTTTGGTTGGTCTACGGGTCGTTCCCCAGCAAAGCGGTTATCAGTACAATCCAAGTTCGCAACTCTATCCCCGGAGAGGAGCTCAAAGCCGCAGCTCTCGGCTCCTTCCAGAGCGCGGTGGAGAACATCATCGATAGCAAAGTTGAACAAGTATGGTGAGAGAGGGCAAGCTTGGCGTATTCCGCTGGTAACAGCAAACGACGAAGAAAGTCTTCCATAAACTTCGACTTTTCCCGATGTGTGACGATAGTTCTTTCAGAATTGTGGCAAATTTTTCGGGTACACCGCTTCTTAGCAGTCAGTTCCAAAGAGATGTTCAATCTACGTCCAAAACATCCCTATTGTTGGCCTTCGGCGGGCTTGGTGATGTTCAAGAATTTAATGCAGCGTGAATATCTGGTTGATGCAACTTCGACCGCTGTGAAAACCAGCTTGTTCCTCGCGAGGCAAACGCTCTGGAGTAGCTGAAAGCCTGTGGAGCGATATGGACAAGACCGACATAAGTGACATCCCTTGGTAGTTGGTGCAATCGCTGCGAAAGCCTTTCTTGTATATCGAGACAATGAAAAACTTACCCCAGGAGTTGGGACTCTTCCCATCGACCCACACTTTTATGGAAAGCGAGAGTAGTTCGCTAATAACTGTATTCCCTCCATCTTTGAATAGGACTGGAAGATGGCTGTCTTGACCTGGGGCTTCGTATCGTTTCAGTCTGGATTTCTCTCCGAATCTCAACCTCAATGGGAGGATCTATGCACACGCGCCATGCGCCACATGATAGCAAAGGGGATGTCGCGGGTGGTTTTGATAAGTAAATTGAAGAGCAGTGCTTTGCCCAGGGATCCAGACGCCTGCGCAGGTTAGTGATCCTAGTACCGTTTAAAGCACAGAGTATCACATTGATGACATGTGATTTCCAGCTAGTGGCTATTATAAAATAATCTGTGGGTGTTTCCAACGGCGGCTGCAACTTCGCTTTGAGTGACTCGATTGGACTACAAGGATTCACCATCGTAGCGATGACTTGATTTGATTCGTTGAGAAATGGTTCGTCTGAGTTCAATGTGCTCCACATTGACAGGAATAGATCGCCGACGATCAAGTAGTTTCGACGATATCATCGAGATCCAACTTTTAGCTGCTGGACGGACAAGACCACAGGTAGACAGATCCACAGAGAACGTGACCTGTTGTAAACGGATCCAATGTTGATCAATGGTCCAGAGGAAAGGGAAAAGTGATATTGTCACAGAGCAGCCGTTGATATTCCACTTCAGCAGCGAGGTCATCCAATGTACCGATGTTCAGACGATTTTATTTGATCTTAGACGAGTCACCGAAGCTCATGCATACCGTCGCACATGCCAGCGCATGATCAGATTCGATGCAAGTCGACCAATAAGATCTGCAGCCTTGAACACTGCTACGCCACCGACGACCTATGGCAATGTGGCCAATCTGCGACTAATGTTGCGATGATGGAGCATGTCAGGTAGCTTAGTGGAATCTCGGGTGGCGAAAATTCAGGTTGGATAGATAAAGCTGATGATCGGAGCATAGGCTGAGCAGCCTTTCTCCATTATCAGAGCGAAAATTATTGTATCCATGCGGACATCCGAGATGACGTTCGCTCGGCAGTAAACGACCAACACGAGCGTTGAAATCCCCCGCTATGACAAGGATGACCGTTCTGGGAGCCGTTAGAAGCAGGTCATGGAGGTTCTGATAGACTAGGTCTTTGACTGTATGCGGGCTACAATCGATAGGCGAATAGGCGGGGACAACAAAAAGAGCGCGTTTATCGCCCGGTTAGTTTGGACGAGTCATGGAATCGCATAGCGCAGAGGCGACTGTTGATGGGAATCCACTCAAGTAGGGTGGCTTTGGCTATGGAAGTAAGGGCAATCCCAACACCAACTTGCTCAGCTGCAGTGTACTCGATGACGCCAGAAAGGCGAAGGAAACAGGTGTATGGGTAAACGGGTGAAGACAGTTGGTAGACGGCTTTGGAGTCCTGAAGTAAGGTTTCAGATAAGCAACACTCATTTATTACAAGAGATTCCAGAGTGCGTGCGAGACCGGCTTGTTGTTCAACATGAATTACAGTACGCACACTGAACGCTTCAAAATGGAACTGCGTTTTGGGTTGAAAAAGCGGAGGGGAGAGTATGGAATTGTCTTACCTCGGTTTGAAGGTGTGTGGTCGGTATAGCGACAGTTTCATCACAGAGCGAGATGCTGTTCATCGACGAGAGGTTGGACAAAACGGACGATGATACAGAAGAATTGTAAATAAGTAGGTGGCGAGTAATAGTGTCAGTAGCAGAACGAGCGAGTGTAGTACCATTCAGTTCCATGGTTCCTTAGTAGGCGAAATACCATCCGTTTCCATAGGCCGAAGTAGAAAGTTCTCTTAGGGGACTGCCATCGGCATAACCCAAGTACGAAAGATAATGGATGGGGAAACCAAGCAGCAAACATGTCAAAGAATGTCGAAAACATTAAGTCGCAGAAGAGATCTACATACTTCACGGAGCTCATTGCCTATGATAAAAGGCTTCGGTCGGAGATAAACTCATATATCACAACAAAGTGATTCAATAGGTTGGGAGCGGCCAAATATGTCACCATCATTCTATATGTTAGCTAAAGTTGGATAGCACCTCAGCTGATATACCGTAATACAAATCGAACACATGGTGGTAAAAAGCAAACGAAGGATTCACATTTCGATTACTTATGAGTAGGAGGATTTCTGTGAAATATCTACTGACTGGCCCCAGCTTCTTAGAAGCCAGAACAGTTTAGCCCCATTCTCGAAAGGATGTACACGATCGCTTCGCTCAATTGGGACTGATCAGAGGTGCGCACTCCTTATTGTAAGAGGGAATATGACAAAGAAACAACACAAGCTGCACTGAATTCGGATCGTATCCATGTCAACAAGCAGCCATCGACATTGCGACTCCAACCTGAGGGGCGGGGGGGGGGTGGGGAGGCCAGGCACACGCGTTCCTCATGACCGAGTCATCGACTGACCTCCATTCCTCTTCCTCAACTCAGACCGCAGTCGCACGAACAAAGTGGGTCGCGGAGGTCGGTGTGTGCTAGTAGGCGTGACACCACGCCCAGCCAACGGGGTTTGGGGAATAAAATAAGTGCTGAACGGCTCACTTCCTCCTCCTCCTCCTGCGCCAAAAATGACGCCGAACGAACTCGTTGCTCAAGATAATAGATGACTAATCATTGGGGGTTGAAAAGAGGGGGTTACTGTGAAGTTGAAACGTGACGACAAGTTCGGAAAAGCATAAGAAGGGGAATAAGAAGACGGGAAGACCTGAGCGATAGCATTCTCGCCCCTATCCACCCTGCTCGATGCAGCAGATAGAGCACCGTTAATTACCTAATGAGAATCCAAAGGCATTATAAAATTGTTGGGGGTGACGAATCTATTATAAAATTAGCGCAAATATTTAACCAGCTACAGACTCCTGCAGACTCCTCATTGGATAGAACTCGTGAGACGAAATTACAAACAAAACGGACTAGTATGCAATGATTCGGGTTTAAATAGTCATCGCCCTGAGTGTTCATTTGTCGTATCCAATCTGCAGTTTGAGCATATTCATCAACTGTCCGTGACTGCATGCAGCACAAATACCCAGAGCGAATCTGATACCAAGCATCATTGTGGGTTGGCTTAAAATTATTAGTCGTGAAGTGAAGCACGGTAAGTTCTCTTGAAATGGCATACATCGTACGAATAACAACCAAGGGTGAGGAAAACGCAGTAGACAAAAAAAGCAATTCATAGCAAATTACAATGGATACATTGGCGACCATCGGCAAATGACAATTCAACGCAATGGAGTGATTACAAGAAGAACGGACTTCCTGACTGCATCAAGTCCCTGGTTCGGACGAGCACAACACGTAAAACTCAACTGTCTCTCTGTCAGCTTCTTCGTGCTACCTCGCTGAAATCAATAGGTCACTTCGAAGTGTCACCCAAGGTGAGCGCGTTGTACAGAAAAAGCCTACCATTTAACGCAAAAGCGATTGCGACTCTAATGTTTAAATCAGTTGTGTATTCTGATTCTTGCAGAGCGGGTTCAGTATTGCAAGTTGTAAATTCCAAGCAATACGCTAGCAGTGAAACGAGTATGCGTGCAATAGAATTTTAAAGGTGAAGCAAAGGGAAAGGGGTTCACATCGCGTAGTATACAACTCTATTATTCAAGCAACGGAACAAACGAATGTATCAAGTTCGATTTAATACTATCAAGCTCTACAGTGAACCGTGTTCCTCCAGCTCGCTTACTGACGCAAAGCGGAACACCTAACGCCATCTATCAGCATTTCGTACGCAGTAGAACGACCGAAGTCAAGCAAAGATATGTAGCCCGTTGTAACCACAGAATTGCAAACAGGGGCCAAGTGGAGTAGGTGTGTGTGTGATTTGTAATGCAAGCGTCGCTAGTTCGAGCCCGCGTGGGTATGGTCAAGTTCGCAGCACCGCAGCCCACAGGCAACTACTGGTGATTGCGCGGCGGCAATGCGTCTGAACGAGGTTCCGGTGTATGGTTGACACCATTTGTCTATAGTTAGATAGATAGCATGTTAATACGGGGATTATTGATGCAGTAAACTGGGTAGGTGAGTGGTGTACATGTGCCACATCAAGAGTGACCATTGCAAGTGGTTTGTGAAAACATCTATAGCAATGGGACTACGATGACACATACACACCCTCACAGAGGTCACTGCAAGAAAAATGATCGTACGTTAGTTAAATTCAGGAAGTAGCACAATGAGTGAGGAGTGATGCAGTGTAAAGAGGTAGCAAACATGGGGGCAAAAACGATTACCCAAAACACGTAGTCGCAATGAAGTCCACCGCAGTAGTTGCTGCCCCATATATTCATGTATGGAAGGAAATGCATACCTGGAAAACGATTGAAAGAGAAGCACGTCTGAGTTCCAAACTTCGCAGTTGGTCATCTAACCACTCGTTGAACTTGTCTCCGAACGGCTTACACTTCGTGTCGTTCCACATGTACTGTGAATTCAGCACGAGGAATTTTGTACGGTTGACTTGAAATGAATAATAGTCATCTCCCCAAGTTTGAACGTGATCAAGAACAGTTTCCTTGGTCGGAAAATCACCGACATCGTGATTTCCAGGCACGGTAACCAATCTGATAGAAGGATCCAGCTTACTAAACGCATTCAACAAACTCAAAGTCTGAGCTTCGCGGTATTCCGAAAACGCATTCGCATCCACCAGATCGCCGCAAACAACAACAAACTTGGGTTTGGGTTTGACGCGATTCAGAAGTTGAATAGCATGTTCAGTCAAAGATATTTCTCGGTCCCAACGATAAGGTTTCGGGCGTTTTTCTACGTAGCGTTCCAATAAACCTGGTTGAGGGTCAGCTAAAACGGCGAATGTGTATGGATCGCGTTCTCCGACACGCAGAATCTCATTTGATGAAATCGATCGATTTGCGGCTCGTAAAAGTGAAGGGAAAACAACGGCCTTCATCCTCCTATAATTGAATTGGAGATAAATAATAAAAGCATACATGGAAGCAAAAGAAAGAAATGTAAAAGTAAGTTCAATTTCAAGTTCAGATGGGACCGGAACGATAGGATAATCCCGTGAATGTTCCTTCTTTTGTGTATTGTCGGATCGGAAATTGACAGGTCTGCTTGAGATGTTGAAAAGCCTAAAACAAAGACCGCATCACACGCTGTCCAACCAATTACTGCCCACATTTTCCTGCCCAGCAATCCCTGCCAGGCCGGTTTATGTGAAGTAAAAGAGTGAAGGGTAAGCTAAGAAAAGAAGAGGAGGAATGTCAGCTAAATAATGATAATAGCAAGGTAGAACAAAATTAAAAAAAGAACGAAGGGAAAGTTGAAGATACAAGTCGGTTAGGAGAAGGGGAAGGTTTGGTACTGCCACCCAAGAGCATCTAACTGACGCTCGAAACCCTCTACCGCAGAACCCCTAACCACGTGCGTCGGAAGCGAGTTCCAACGTTCAATAACTCGACGCGACAAGCGAGTTTCCGTCCTTACCCTGTCAGAACGCTGTTTGTGCAGCTTCAACGGGTGACCTCGGAGACTAGGCAGCTTGGCGGGACTAAATAGCCAAGACAAGTCTGGACCCATCTTACCCGTTAAGATCAAG